TACATTACAGTAGAGCTGGGCGGTATGACCAAAATTTTACATCACGGTATTTTCAACATTTACACCGGTTTCACGGTATATCACGGTATTTTTCTTTTCATCACAGCTCAGCTGATAATAAAATGCACAAAAACTGCTTATTAACTTTTCTCTTTTACTGTACCTCTGTCTGTGTCTCTGTTTCCCTCCTCTAAACGTCTTTTCTTCTCCTCCTGGTTGGAGACAGTAGTAATGCATTTTGGTCCGGTCGTGAAGGAGGAGGGTTAAGAAAAGATTATTATTGGGTCTGTTGTTTTATGTTATTTAATAAAGATTAACAGCACGTCTCACCTTGCACACCAGTCAACTCAATTCCACTACAAAACTTCTTCCCCCTGCCTTTTCACAATAGAAGCACGCTAAAGTCTCCATGCATCTCCACGTCTCCATATTAAAGTCGCGTGTTTTATCTAACTGTGCACGTCACTGAAGAGTTGTTTACTACATTCAGCAACGGCGAAAATGGAATGTTTTTTAACGTCAGTCAATATAGGCAGCGGAATCGCCACCCGCCGCTGCAACACGCTGCTCCAACTACATTAGCATGCTAATGCACATAGCGGTGCAGCGAGGAAAAGTGTCCTCCGGGAAACAGTTCACTGGCGGCCGCGACGAAACATTCAGAAATTTTATATCATAACAAAAATAAAAAAACGGTATTCGGTACGAACCGGTATACCTCCCAGCTTACATTACAGCACATAAAAGCTTTCAGATAAAAGAAACAAAGTGTTGGATTGTAAGATAATTAGATTCTTTGCCACTTACCATTCTTGGGGTTTTTCTCTTGGCTTTTTGGATTTGAGATGATTGTTGTTTGCTCCGCAGCAAGATGGAAAACCCAGTTTGTAATGGTTGTTGAACTCTCAGGAAGAAGATAATTACTTGTGAACAATATTTCAGCTACAGCTCTGCAGGATTCTGAGTAATAAATGTTGGTTGTGTTCTGTTTTGTTCCGTCATGTTAGGGAGAACCAATAACCTTCAATGAGGACACTTTTATCAATCATCGCTCCAGTGCCATGAGACAGTTTCTACAGAACGCTATTCAGCTGCAGCTCTTCAAACAGGCACGTACATACACACACACACACACACACACACACACACATACATCTCTCCATATTTGTGTGGATTTTGTGTTGACTTCCTTTAATTTCTAGAGCCTAATCCTGACTCCCTTGTTTATTTATACACTTAATTTATACACTTGTGTCACTAATTGTCATATATATTGTCACATAGTTATGTATTGATGTGTGTACCTGCTGCTGCTTCTGCTACACCTGAATTTCCCCACGCGGGACAATAAAAGCTGTTTCTATTCTATTACCCTAAACCTGACCATGATCATATCCGCACTGCTGCATTCTTTTAGTGAGAAAAGTCTTTGTGCCAATAAAGTTTGTAGTCATTTCCTTGTCTGTAGCTGAAAGAAATCACTGGAAGTTCAAATCTGAAAGGAGCCCCACTCTTAGGCCGGTTGGTCCGTGCATCTGTCTGTCAACACTACAGCGGTCCATCTTTTCAGGAGCCAGCAACTCTGAGGCGCAACAGACGGGGTGTCCTTTGTCTCCTTAATGAGCTGAGGTGGTCGGAACACGAAGAACATGGGACATCTTCTGAAATGTTAATGTCCCTGTTTTCATAGCAGTCTTGTGAAAATTTGGCGATTCACCTCATGTGACTAACCCCTAATTTACACTACATGCGTTACGGTTTGACCTCTGCAGGAAATACGCACCCATTATAATCAATGAGAGTGTTTACACTGGCTGTGCAGGGCGGCGGTGAGAGGACGGTGATCTGGCAAAATTAGATCCGATCCCATTTCTGCCGGATGCCGGAGCTGCGCCAGAGTCAATTTTTAAAGATTACGTCGCACCAACAGGAAAAGGAATGAGCACAACATCCGTATTTTCAAAATAAGACACTATTAGGCGGAATAATTTGTCGGAATAATGTCGAAATCCCAGCTATATTAATAAATATACGGATATATTTCTACACAAATACTGTCAGAATGTATCGTTCTGTTTGGGAAGCAGATGGAAACATGTAGCATGAAGCATATGTGTACACACACGATACACATGGATTTTATTTTGAAATCAGAAATTTCAGAAAGACGACGGCGAGACAGTTTCAACACAGATATCAAAAGCCTTTATATCAATGTTTTCAGCTGTGTTTGGAGTTCGTCTTTCACAGAATTAATTATTTTTTTGCTGTGACTTCCACATTTATCACTGAATTTACCGCGCTATCTCCTTCCTCCTCACTCTCTGTTGGACCGGAGCGGACACTGTATAAATTGAGACACAAACGAACAGCTGCGACCTGCGCACTGCAGCGCAGCGGAGCGGAGACGCATGTAGTGTAAATCCGGGGTGATACTATCATAATTTTTATATACCATCATCATATTTTGATACATCGGGATAACAAAATACATTCATAATATCCAAGCCTAGTGTGCACACATACAGAGCTGCTGACCTTTTCACCTGTGGACATCGATGTGGGGTTCTGTGGAAAAGCAATGTCCAATTATTTCTTACCTGTTACAGATGACTCTTTGAACAATCTCATTGTGGAAAACAGACTATAAACAGAAAGTAAACCCCAAATCAACTTTTTATATTGATTTAAAATATTTTTTTGTATTATTTTTGTCTATTTTGCTGAGTCAGCGCCTTGAGCCAGTGGTTCGAGCCGATAAGCCCTGCTGGGCTCTACAGCCTCCCTCAACCTCAGGTGACGAGCGGGGTGAAAAAAACTTCCCCCGTGGCTAAACTACCTGTGCCACTGTGGGTCCTCTCCATGTTTCAGTGCAGAAGTCGACCAGTTCTCCTCAGAAATGAACTGGACAGAGTGGAAGGAAAAACACTGTGGAGCAGATCTGCTGTTCTGAAGCTTGAAGTTTATCATTGCTGAGCTACACAAAGTTCAAGTTGGTTTCCGATTGGAGGTTCCGATTTGGAAAATGGCTAAAGGATGATTCCACCTAATTACCTTGAGCATCTTGAATCTGCTTTAATTTAAAAACTAAAATACTTCGACACGTCAAACCTGGATTATATTATTCTACACTGATGGCAGAAAGTTTAAAATCAAGTTTGTGAAACTTTTATTTGATCTGTGAAACTTCAGTAAAGCCTGTTTTCAGCACTTTCTAAGCATTTGGACCACACTAGACCTGATCCAGATTTAAAACTACAACACCTAGACTCTTCAGACCTGTACTAGATTATTACACTTGTAGCAGAAGATTTATTGAAGTGCTACAGCTAACTGCTGCTGCTTTTAGTGTTTGCAAATAATTATACATTTCATCTTTCTGAGTCAAGTTTGTTAAACGTTATCTGCAGGACAAAAGATTTTAATAGTTTTTAATGTTTGTAAAGAAATCCCTTCAGAAAGTTGGAACTCGGCATGGGCTGGTGGAAAGGAAAACGTCACTGTTTCAAAACCACTACAATTTTCTGCCGTAAAGGTCCTGATCTAAAAATAACATAGAACATAATAGAAAAGTTCTTTTCTTTTCTTTTTTTAATACCAATTTCAAAAAAACACCTTTTAGAGCTTTAATCACATTACCGTGAAACTGTGATGTTTTTGCCTCAGATTATCAAACCGTTTGAATTTCATACCGGCCCATGCCTTGTTTGAACTATCCCTTTATGCAACCTAACCTTTAACACCTAAAATGTACTATAAATGTTGTGTCTGTTTTCTAATGCAGTTTATTGATGGTCGCTTGGACCTGCTGAACTCTGGAGAGGGTTTTAATGACATCTTTGAGGATGAAATCAGTATGGGTGAATATGCAGGTTAGATTTTTTTGTTTTTTTGTTTTGTTTTTAATTTTATCATTTGTATCCTAACTCCCAGTGATAAAGCTAAGTATTGTGTACACAAGTGAATAATTTTTGAAAAGAAAAAGTTTGATCTTAAAAACAGCCTTTGCAAAGGTGCATGCTGAGTTAGCGCCTCTTGTTTACAGAGGTTTTGATGGCGAAAAACATTTTTTTAATGGGGATATGTTTTTAGTTTCCCTGTGTAACAAAAAGATAAAGCTTTTTATAAACAGTGACTAAGCAGTTAATTCTGAGCATGTGCAGTAAACAATAACACTTCTTACTGTATTGTTTTTATGTTTCGTGAATAACAGATTTGCATAGATTTTCTACAAAATTTAACAAATAAACATGCTTGGTGTTTGTTTGCCAGCAGTTGTATGGAACATACTAACATTTTGTTTGCTGACACCCACAGACAGTGACAAGACCTACCATCAGTGGCTGCTAACTGTGAAGGTGAGATAATCAAACAGTGAAACCATTAAAAACGTTGTTTTCAAGAAAATATTGTTGCGCTTATTTGTCCGACCTCCTGCAGATAACTGAGACTTGAACACACTGCTGAAATTAGTCATTTGTCATGAGCCAGTATTTGGGCATGTACCTCAGTGGTGTTCAGTTCAGGGATGTACAGTGGGGAAAATAAGTATTTAGTCAGTCACCAATTGTGCAAGTTCTYCCACTTAAAAAGATGAGAGAGGCCTGTAATTGACATCATAGGTAGACCTCAACTATGAGAGACAAAATGTGAAAAAAAAA